CCCATGGAAAGCCAAATAAGTTATTGGTCTTTGGTCCTAAAGGTTTCAACAAGTATTTGACTGTTAATTCAAAGCTCTCATGACCTCAAGGATAGTTCTTGAAAGCCTCAATATCCTGAGATAAATTTACCCATTGAAGGGATATGTTGTTGTTGAGATCTTTGGCCAAAATTACATTATGTACAAACCAAAGTAAGCACAATGACTCCTTGTGCTTCCTTGATGTATCCTCAACATTCAATAAATATATTAAATCGAGATTTTTGAAGCTTGTGCCAACAAGGGACACCAAGTCCTGCTCCTCAATTGACTGTCTTGTTTCTTCTTTTCCTCCTTTCTTTAGTCTCCGTGGTTCTTTTTTTACTATGAATTCAGGGACTGGCTCAGAAGGAGGATGTCATTTTAACCCTGAAACTATGTCAAACTCTCTTCTGCCAAAGAAGAGTGGCATGCCACAATAATTAATCAAAGCCTCATCCTTTTTTCAGGATTCTGAAAATGAATCTTCTTTTCAAAAGTTCATAGACCATGGTCATTTGAAAATGTGCATTATTATTCTCTGGCAAATCAAGAAAATGACCAAAACAGCTATTCCTAAAAAAATCTTTCAAACCATTCTGCTTGAAGGTGTCCCTGAAGGTGTCGAAAGGTTTTCCCATGGCTGACCTCATAATGCTATCACCAGTAGCAATAGGCTACAAATACACAAAAAAAGTGTGTGCATTGATAGTTTTGATCCCATCATCCTCAACTTCATTTTTTCTTGTTCTTCTTCCTCAACTTCTTTTTGTTTCCTTTGTCTTCATCAACTTCATTTATTTTCTTCTTCCTCCTCAACCACTTCTTTATTTTTTCCTTCTTCTTCCTCAACTTCTTTTGGTTTTCCTTTAACTTCCTCAACTTTTTTTTTATTTCCCTCTTCTTTCTCAGCTTCTTCTGCTCTTTCTCCATCATCATCTACTTCATTTTTTTCTTTTTCTCTTTCATTTTCTTTTTGAGAAAATTTTGCTTCTACTTGAGAAGAAGAAACTGCTTCAAATGCAAGTTCTTCTAAAAGAGTGGTAGTCGAATTTTCATTCTTCTTCCTACAAGTTTTTGTCCTAGGCCTCTTCTGGATCTTTGTGTCAGTTGTTTATTTTGTTAATACAATTTTGTATCTGCAACCACAAAAATCAAATATTTCTTAACAAAAATAACAACAACCAAACACAACAACACAAACAACAACACAAACAACAAATCCGATTCAGTACCACACATGAACCAACCAACAAACCACAAAACCCTCCCTAATCCCTAACCAACGAACTACAAATTAAGCTTTTTGAAATCAGATAATATTTCAAAAGGAATAACTATCCAACCATCCTACAAACAAATAAGTGATAAAACCACTAAAAACGTCCTGATTTAATACCAGTAAGTATTTCTCAAAATCCTAATTAAATTTTACCTGAGAAGATATCAATGATAAACTAGAAATGATGAGGGCAACGACGCCTTGTTGTAAAAGAGGATCGCAACAGATTACCACTGATGTTGTAGGAAATATCGCAACTACAATCTTGTTCTGTGAAGGAATAATGGAACGAGAGAAAGGAAGGAAAGAAGAGAAAAGAAAATGGAAATTAGTAAAAATAAATTAAATTTGGAATATGAAACGACCTTTTATAGAGGAGAGGAGAGAGGGAAAAATGAAGGGACGATTGTTTTAAACCTTCTAATTTTTTTTTTCTTTTGAATTTTGACAATTCAAATTAAAGTGTAACATATGTTGCCACATATATCCTTTCTGTTGGGGCACATGCAGATCATTCTGTGGTGGTTTAACAACATAGGTTATATATGTTGCCACAGACGCCACATTTCTTCCTTTCCATCATAATTGACATTTGTTCCAACAAAATAAAAATAATATTAATTATCATTAATATTAATATTATCATCAAAAATGAACAATTGATGACAATATAATGTTGCCACATATCTCCTTTCTGTGACATATGTTACCACATATCTTCTTTCTGTGACATATGTTGCCACATGTATCCTTTCTGTTGGGGAACATGCAGATAATTCTATGGTGTTTTTACAATAGAGGTTATATATGTTGCCATAGACACCACATTTCTTCCTTCCATCATAATTGACATTTGTTCCAACAAAATAATAATAATAATAATAATAATAATAATAATAATAATAATAATAATAATAATAATAATAATAATAATAATAATAATCATTAATATTATTATTATCAACAAAATCGAACACTTCACCAATTGTTTTATACAACTTATCAACAAAAAGGTAATTCACAATGGTATACATAACATCAATCTAATCTATGGTGGTAACCACAACATTTTCTCTCTATGGGTCTTCATTGTTACTAACATAGCTAGTCCGAGCCTTTAAAATCCCATAATTCCATAGGAGTGAAGCATATCTGAAGCGAAAGGATTGAGAAATAATTCAATCAGATGGTGTTTGTAGTCCATCACTCAAAAACTCAACGTATGCAGCAACAAAAAGTCCACAATCTCTGCATGGTATATCATCAATTAGAAAATATAATAAACCTAATATTAACATCACATTTCGATAGTGGTAAAACTAAAAAAATAATGTGATACTACTTACAGACTATTACTTGCTTGTTGGGCAATACCAGTAACATGTATGACTTCGAATGGGTGAGATTTGTTCTTGCCCTGGTAAGATTCAAGAACTGACCAGTTGGTTCGGTCTTTTTGCTCATAAAATCCGTTGGATTCAAGGTACTTTGGCAACATTGTAGACAACTTTTGAATCTCGGCGCACAATTTTCTGTTAGTCTTAGATGAGGACATCGAATCATACACCTTTATGCACCTTTCCTTCAATACAATGACTGCCAAGACCCAATGAAACTCCCCATTACAATTTATAGGGACATAAACCTCATCTGTGAGGTGCCAATGCAGTCCAGCAGGTATACCAAACCCTTTGATAGTGCCAACGATTTTATTCTCATATTCAGGAACATCACTGGCATTGTCAATGTATGTTTTGAAAAAACAATTAGTAGTGGTATATCAATATTTAGAATGACTCTGTTGCTTCGACTTCTTCCGCAAATAGTATAAAATGACATCCTCATACTGCACAGATGCATCAACAAGTGTATTTATGTATCAATTTATTTGTATGTATTCATGTCTTAATCAAAAGATAAAAGTGGGCATCGATTACCTCATCAATCCAGCACTTATTGGGTTGAGACATTACGTAGAACCAATTTTTGTTCTTTGGAAATGCAACTACAAAATTAAGTTGTTTGAACTCAAGATTTGAGCAATTGGCTAAGTAGTGATCGTCCTTGTCTCTTCTGCAATTGTGTAATCATCATAAATAATTATTTAGTGGACAACAAGAAGAAATACTAATAATAGTTGAACGACTTTACTTTTTTGCATGATGCTTGTAAAGAGCCTCATTTATCCATTACGAGAAGGATGAAATTAGTTCACTTGGACCCTCGCCGTCAATGTTAAAACCTTCAAATGGATATTGTTGCTTCACATCACAACTGACGACTTCGACTTTCTTCTCTTTCTTTTTCTCTTTCTCTTTTGCTTTCTTTTTCACTTTCTCCTTCTCTTGCTTCTTCTCCTTCTCCTTCTCATTCTCCTTGCCTTTTGGGTTTGAGTGTGATACTGGAGTAGTAGTCATTGATTTTTTTCTTTCACTAATTATAGATAGTGATTGGGAAATAGATTTTTTCAACCTCCTACACTTCAAAGGCTGTGAATTTTTTTTGGATGTATGGACATCAATATTATAAGTCATTTTCTTAAAAATATCAATGAGTTTTTTAACACGACTAATAAAATAATCATGTTGCTGCTCACATTCTTCGCATAGACAAAAAAAGCATTCGATGTTAAAAGAGGAAGCAACACCAATAAAAGATTGAGCTGTTGTCATGGATGAAGCTTCTTGTATCATTTCATCTACAAGGGAAATGAAAAAAGGTTGAGAGTTTACAATTTGTTATAAAATAATAATGGGTAGCAATTTATACTTATGTTGACACATATGGATATTCTGTTGCCACATATGTACCTTCTGTTTCCACAAATGAATCTTCATGTGCCACAGATTAATCTTATGTTACTACAGATGACCATTTTGTTGCCCTAAAACATAGGTGATATGTTCCAACATATGACAACTCTGTTGGAATATATACCAACATATCACTAAAATGTAACAACATACGACACATCTTTCAACAAATGAAATATATGTTGGACAACTGAACAAGACTATATTTCTAAAATCATATGAACAAAATGGTCAGAAAAAGAACAACAAAAGCAACAAAAAATGAAATTTTCACTGAATGTTAACAGTACATATACATTTCCTCAAAATTAGGGCTTTTTAGGTTTGTTGATATTTTTCAAAAACAATAAATAATAGGTACCATTACATCATTATTCAATTTTCACATCTATAGAACGATTTATTGTTCATTAACCCAAGAAAAAAAACTTAAGTAATTGTTCGAAAAATTGTAAAAATCTTTCAAAAAAAAATGACTTATTCATTTTAAGTCGAACACAATCTTCAGTTCACAAAGAGGAGAGAGTCACGACCGGAGATGAGGAGGAAGATAAGATAATGGGGGAGAATACTTGTTTTGATAGTCGAATTTTTGGATTTTCTAAGGAAGAAGAAGAAGAGAAGAGAGAACGTTGGGAGAAGAAGAACAGAAAGTTCTATTTTCTTTTACTTTTTTTTTAAAATGGTTTGGATAGAATTATAAAAGTTGAAAAATGAAGTGTTTTTTTGTATTTTATAAAAGAGTAGAAAGTTTTCAAAATGTTAATTTGGTCCCAAATTTACTTAATTTCATTTTAAAATGAATTTGATCCTTTCTTGGTTAAAGTATCACCAAAAATCAAAGCAAGACTTAATTGACACTTTTCATTTAATTGTCTCAACACAGTGCTCCGAAACTTCACTCATGAATCCTACTTGTTTGGTTCATACAGTTTCTGAACTTTCTTCTTCCCTCTCCTTTTCGTCAAAACCTTAACTTGTTGATTGGCAAAACAGAAAGAGTAGTGAATCAATTGTGAAAGCGAAAGAAGATTAGGAGGTGAAAATGAGCGGTCGTTGTAGAAAGAATGTGAAACAAAATGTTGCAGAAAAACAAAGTAGAGAAACCTATAAGACTGATCGCCAAAAAGTAGTGCAAAAATCAGCTCTGAAGTCGAACAGATATATTGAGGAATTTGCAAAATATATGGCTGTCTTGGATGAAGAAGACCACAATTCAAGAAGGAAGCGTAGAAGAAATAATAATGAAGAAGAAGAACTCAATACATGTATGAAAAAGAAGGGGCAATATCGGAAGCGTCGCAACAATACAAGAGAAATGTTAAATATGACCTGCAAGAAATTGTTCCTTCGTATAACGAAAAAGAACTCAATACAGCTTTAAAAAAGAAGGGTCAAGCTCAGAAGCATAACAAGAACACAAGAGAAAATATTGAAAGTAAGAAAGACGACCCGCATGAAATTGCTGTCTTGGCTGAAGAAGAACAACTCAATACATGAAATTGCTGTCTTCAGCTGCTTCCTATTGTAACTAGAATTTCCATTGTTTATTTTGGGCAGAGTACCCGTGTCAGAGTTGATGCTTCCCAAGGGAAAGTACTAGAGGAGTGAGCGTATACACTGGTAAGCATGAAAGACCTCCTCTTTCCATGTCAATTTTTTGGATGATGTTCAAATAAACTAAAATGAGCTACGCTTGGTGCAGTAACAACTGCAAAACATCCATTTTTGATCTTCGCGGAAATTGTTCCAGCTGTTCCTATGTTCTTTGCCTTACTTGTTGCCGGGATCTTAGAGATGGTATTTATAAAGGAGGTGAATAAGAAGTCATCATGAAATTCACTGACAACGGGGTTGCTTATTTGCATGGTGATGTGAGATTGGATGCTAGAACTACCATTTCCAGAAGGCCTAGATTTTCCGAGAAGATGGTTGACAGTGATTCTGTGGGAGATGCCAAGTTTGCGTTTGGTATGGAACCTGGGGATGATGGAGGGCTTCTCCCGTAGATCTCTGGTTACCCTGCTAGTGAATGGAAATGCACTGAAGATAGTAGCATCCCTTGTCCACCAGAGAATTTTGGTGGCTGTGTTAAGGGAGTTTTAGAGCTGAAGTGCCTGACATCAAAGTCAAATCTCTTAGCTCTGAGTTGTTGGAAGAGGCTGAAGTTATTTCCAAACGACTTGAATTGGAATACATGCATGAAATTCCTCAGGAGTCATGCTTATGTATGAAATCAATGGATGAAAATGATATGCAGAAAAGCAAATTGCGTAAAGCAGCATTTCGTGAAGATTCTGATGGCAATTATTTATACTGTCCAGCAGCTAAAGATCTTCAGCAGGAGGATCTGAAGCATTACCAATGTCATTGGATGAAAGGTGAGCCTGCAATTGTCGGTAATGTGCTTGAGACTATGTCAGGGTTAAGCTGGGAGCCCATGGTTATGTGGCGAGCATGTCGCTAGATAAAGAGCACAAACCATCCCCTTCATTTGAATGTCAGCGCTATCAATTGCTTGGATTGGTGTGAGGTAAGTTTAATACTTGCCAGTTGTCCCAACGATACATGGAGGAAAATACCGGGGTAAAGAAGGTGTAATTTTATGCATCTTGATAATCCCTATCTCTATTTACTGTTGCAGTGTACTTTCTGAGGTATCAATTTATGGTTTTCCTTGCTTTAAGTTTAGCTAGACAATAAATATCTTAGTTATGAAGAATCTCTCCATCACTGTTGTGTCAGCTCTGGTTGGATGACAACATAATTGGATGCAAACCGAAATACATATCAATTAATAACTCAGATCAATATCTAAGCACTTAATGCATGATTCACAGTTTATTGCGATGATTATAACCTTAACGCTATGGCTTAGCTCAAAGGAACTTAATTGTTCTACTTTATAGAGCTAGATGGGATTTTAAAGCATCCATTTTGATGTCGTCATACCGCAAGATATGTACTCTTGGTGCTTTTTTTTATGATGGATAATTTGTTTTGTTTTTTGTTAGTTTTTTGAACTAATGAATTACTATTTAGTTCATTAGGCGTTTAATGGAGTAGGTAGTTCTATTTATTCTGCATGACCATCTTACTCTTTCATCAACTATAGGTTTTTCCAAGTCCATTAAATTGATAGACTACTTTTATCCCATTGTTATGGGCTAGTACAGTAAGCATGATTTGATTAACTTTATTTTCATTTTGAAACTTCATGAAAAGCACCACTAACCACTCAATTCTTTACTTAAAATGTGGTTAAAAAATAATTCATGTTGCTCGCGGTATGAAGAATGAAGTTGATGACTTTGTGAATATTAACTAGATCAACTCAATGGGATTTAAGGTAGTATGAAGGGAAACATCTAGTTGCGTTAGTACTTATTGAGAATATAATTGAGAAAATATAAGTGTGCTCTCTCTAACGGCTTAAACTTTTTTTTTTATAACCGAGAAATCCGTCTGTGACCCACCCTTTGGACCAATCTTCTAAACTCGGTGTATAATGGGCCCGCCCTTTTACCCTTCTCCACTAAAATACTGGGCTTCGCTGTGTGGGGCTAGAACCTGCGACCTAAGTCACAAATCCTCTACCTTTTGCCACTCGAGCTAGGCCTTGGGGGCAATGGCTTAAACTTTTTGATGAGATGGTCACACACTTCAACATGATATAAAAGCAGACAGAGGTCCTGAGATCGAATTTCACCAACACATCATCAGAAAAGAGTTCCACATGCATGGCCCATGAAAATAATCAGGTGTGCATGTGAAGGGGCGTGTTGAGAATATAATTAAGTAAATATAAGTGTGTTCTCTCTTAACAACTTAAGCTTTTAGATGAGATGGACATACACTTAAAAAAACTTTTTGCTAATGAAGTACACAACTAGCGACAACTAAGCAACATGAGCAATTTCAGACCAAGTAGCAATGTATACTTGAGCTGTAATTGGCCTGTGAAGTGTAGTGTTTCACAAAAGCTTTTGGCCCTTTTAGCCTTCTTTAAGTATAATTTATTTGCTGTTAAGTTTAACCCATTTTAACGTTTTGTTTTTCCTTTGATTACTGCAGGTTGAAGTTAACATCCGCCAATTTTTTATGGGATACATGGAAGGTCGGTTTGATAGTGCTGGCTGGCCCCAGATTTTGCAGTTGAAAGACTGGCCTTCATCTGATTTTTTCGATAAGCGGTCACCTCGTCACTGTGCTGAGTTTGTTAGAAGCTTGCCCTTGAAGGAGTACACAAATCCTCAAAATGGCTATCTGAATCTTGCTGTCAAACTGCCATCAGGGTATTTGATGCCTGGCACGAGACCAAAAACATATATTGCTTATGGAGTTCCCGAGGAGCTGGGGCGTGGGGACTCTGTGATTAAGCTGCATTTTGATATGTCTGATTCGGTATACTTAATTGTTTTATTTTTCTTTGGGCATATTTTCTTCTCTGTTGACTCTGGATTATTCCCAACTAAGTTTTTTCTTGAACACATGGACAATTCGTGCTTTTGGTTATTGCAAGCGCTCTTTAACTTTAGACTTATGCAAGCTAATGCAAAAACAAGTCAAGTTGGAAAAACTGCTCACATCAAAAAAGAAAATGAACATCCTGAAAATGTCTCCCATGAACTGAAGTGACTTTATGTTCTCTAATTTGGTTGGATATATGCTAGAGATTTGGAGAATCGACAGTCGTAAATTCTGTTGCACTCCCCAAAAGAAATGTTTATTCTCAGTTTGAAGAGTGCTTTCAAATCCTCCTATGTGGTATTCTCGATAGAGGATATTACATGGTGAACAATGTGTGTCCTTATTATATTGTTAGGCTGCATCTATGTATTTATCTATTTTCTACCTATATTCCAGGTAAATGTGTTGACACATACACAAGGAATAAACCTGACACCTGAACAACTTTCGAGGATTGAAAAATTGAAAAGAAAGCATGTTGCCCAGGATAATTGGGAATTGCAAACGACTGACGAGGAGCACAAATATGGAATCAAAACATCATCTAAGTTCAACGAGGACCAGCCTTTACTAGGTGAGATATACCTGATCAAATTGAAGTTCAAGACTTCATGAACTACTTATCGAAACAAGAAAAAGAAAGCAATATTAGTGAACTAAATTGTGGTAATTAATCATTGTTGCATCTGCTTCCTGTGTGGAACCAGAGAGACACACTGTTGCTGAAGTGGTAACAGATGGTGGGGGAATCAAGTTAACTAGCTCTTTTGAAGCAAGTGGAGGGATTAAGAATGATGTTGATGAGTGCAAAGATATCCTGTTTTTTGCAAAAAATGTGAAATGATTGAGGATGTTAGAATCCTAGGAATATTCTGTAAGAAAAACAACAAGAAAATACCCGGTGAAATCCCACAAGTGGGGTATGGGGATGGTAAAATATACGCAAACCTTATTACTACTTCGTGGAGGTAGAGAGGATGTTCCCGAAAGACCCTCAACTCAAGTGCAGCAAATCCAGGTATAAAGGACACACAATGAAGAAAATAAAGCGAATAACAAGGAAACAATACAAAGTCTACCGGAAGAGAGCAAACACAACAACAAAATAGTGCGATAATTGAAACACAATAAACAACATACTAGGATAGATTATTGAAAAGAATAATAAACAATGATAAATACCAACCACCCTAAACAAGCCAACACTAAAACTACCTACTAACCTTCTACCCTAATACGCGTCCTCTACACCTTTCTTTCTTTGGTCATGTCCTCAGTAGCTGCATCATATCCTGTCTTATCACCTCTCCTCAATACTTCTTTGGCCTACCTCTGCCTCTCCTCGTACCCTTTATAACCAGTCTCTTGCACCTCGTCACAAGTGCATCTATGCATCTCCTATTCACATGTCCAAATCATCTCAGTCTCGGTTCCCTCAACTTGTCTACCACAAAGACCATTCCCACCTTCCTTCGGATATCCTCATTTATAACTTTATCGCTCCTAATATGACCACACATCCACCTCAACATCCTCATTTACGCAACATGCATTTTCTGGACGACTGGCCAACACTCTGCCTCATATAACAATATCGGTCTAACCACCACTCTATATAACTTACCTACGAGTTTCGATGGTAGCTTTTTATTACACAAGAATCTAGATGCAAGCCTTCACTCCATCAACACTGTCAATACAATGTGTGATATCATCTATCCCCACTCCCTTGATTATAAACCCAAGATACTTGAATTTGTCTCTTAGAGATATTTCATGTGTCAAGCCTCACTTCCACGCCTACCTCATGCATCGCATCATTGAATTTGCACTACGCATACTTTGTTTTGGTCGTGCGCAACCTGAATCCTTAGTCTCCAAAATTTATGTCCACACTTCGAACTTAACATTAACTCCATTGCGCGTCTCATCAGTCAGTACTAAGTCATCTGCAAATAACATACGCTAAGGCACTTGTTCCACTATGTGTCTTTGGGAGCATATGCTTTGTCTATATGCTCACAACAGAAAAAGACAAATTAGTTCCACGTGCTCTTAAATGTGTTTTTCTTGGTTATTGAAGGTATAAAATGCATATCAATGCTTCTCACCCGTCCTTCAACGATACCTTATGTCTGTTGATGTTACTTTTATAAATGGTATTTTACATCCTTTTCTGCTGATAATTAGGCATTTTTGAGGTTTTACTAGTTCCTATCTTTTGGGATCCCACCGGTCTATCCTTCTATGTCATATCCTGTAACTCAATTAAATCCATCTTCCTGGACTATCTCTAGATAAATCTACAGTTGGTTGTCTGTGGGTATATACATTGAATGTTGGTCTTGATAGACAAATTGATTTTCTAAAAGCTCACCTAGTGGACAAGGGTTGTACACAAAAATTTTGGTCTTGACTATGGTGATACCTTCTCTCCAGTGGCCAAGATTTCTTCTATCCGTCTCGTTTTATCCATGGTTGTTGTTCTTCATTGGCCTCTCTGCCAATTGGATATTAAAAATGTCTTTTCTTCATGGAGATCTCGAAGATGAGGTATATATAGAGCAACAACATGGTTTTGTTGCTCAACGGGAGTCTAGTAACATGGTGTGTAGACTACGACAAGCACTTGATTGCCTAAAGCAGTCTCTTCGAGCATGGTTATTTAGAAGTTTGGCATGATATGAAATGAAGGTGATCATTTTGTGCTCTATTGTCACACTGCTCCAGGTTTGTGAATGTATTTAGTGGTGTACGTTGATGACATAGTTATCACATGTAATGCTGATGAGGGAATTACCAGATTGTAGGCGATTGATTCTCAAATGGATTCAAATGTTAAGCTCTTACTTGGTCGAGGGGAGCCTCTTAGAGATTATGGAAGATATAGAAGGCTGGTAGGAAAGTTGAATTATCACGTAGTGACTCGACTTGATATTACTTTCCAGATTAGTGTTGTAAGTCAATTCTTGAATTCTCCTTGTGATTGTCATTGAAATGCTGTTATTCACAATCTTTGATACACAAAATCTGCTTCAGCCTTCAGGGAATGGACTACTTCATGAAGACCGAGGACATGAGAAAATTGTTGGATATTCACTAATTGGGCAGGGTCACTCTTTGACAGATAGTCCACTTTTGGAATTGTGTTCTAGTTGGGGGAAATTTGGTTTCTTTAAAAAGTAAGAAATAAAATGCGGCTGCTAGATCTAGTGAAGAAACAGAATACCGGTGGCAACATGTGAACTCATATGGATCAAACAACTATTCAAGGAGTTGAAATTTAGAGATACTAAGGGAATAAACTTGTGTGCGACAATGAATCTGCACATCACATTGCATCAAATGCATTGTTTCATGAGAGGTCCATACACATAGAGATTGATTGTCATTTTGTCAGGGAAAATGTGCTCTTAGGAGACATCATTACAAGGTTCGTAAGATCAAGTGATTAGTGTGCAGACATATTCACCAAACCAAGTTCCTACCTGGTTCTAGAATGAGTGTATTGATTTGTATGATTTCCTTTCCTTTTTAGGACATGTAAACTTAGTTATTCTGTTATTGATAAGGTTTGGAGAGAATAACTTGTTTACTGCTCAATGATTACAGTTATATAAATATATGAAGAGTACTGACTAACTATGGTAACTAGATAATCAAATCCCTACAAATCAGCTTGACTACCATATATACAAGATTGTACAACTGTAAATTGATTCTGTAACACTCTCCCTCAAGTTGGAGCATGGATATTGATCATGCCAAGCTTGTTACAAAAGTAATCAACTCGCTTATTTGTTTCACAAAAGCATTAAATGGATCATCATCATCTGTCATAAGAGATACATTAGGAACCATTGGAGTACTACAAGGTTTTGCTCCCAACTTTCTAGTTTCTGCAAGCAAGTCAAGAATATACCTTCTTAGAGATAGAAAATTCCCTTCTTGCCTCTATTTACTTCTACTCCAAAAAGTATCTCAATGGGCTCAAATCCTTCATTTGAAATCTAGTGTGCAAGAAAGACCTAAGGGAAGAAACTCTCGCATAATCACTTTCTGTGATGATGTCATTGACATATACAACAAGGAGAATAGAGCCAAATGTTTATTGCCGAGAAGATTGAGTGATCACATTTGCTCATTTTCAACCCAAAATCTTGAACTACCTCACTGAATATGCTAAGCCAAGCTCATGGACTTTGCTTCAAACCATACATAGGCTTCTTCAAATGACAAACTTTCTCATACTCCCCTTGAGCAACAAAATCGGGTGGTTGCTCCATATACACTTTCTCTTGAAGATCACCATGAAGGAATGCATTCTTGATATCTAACTGATGCAAAGGCCAATTCTCAAAAAGAGCTAGAGAAATGAAAAAGCAAACAAAATTTAGTTTGGCAATTGGGGAGAAGGTGTTTGAATAATCTACCCATATGTCTGGGCATACCCTTTAGCCATAAGCCTTGCTACAGAACCATCTGGAGTAACTTTAACGGTGAAGACCCACTTACATCCCACTGGCTTCTTTCCCTTCGATAAATCCACCAAATCCCACGTGTGATTTTCCTCTAAGGCATGTATTTTATCAATCATTGGATTAACCATCCAGGATTGTTCAAAGCCTCTTTCACTGTTTTGGGTACAGAGATGGAGTCTAGAGAAGTAATCAAAGATCAAGACATAAAGGATAAACGATCATAGGAAACAAAATTAATAATTAAATATGTAGATTTGCAAGTACGTGTACCTTTGAAAAGAGCAATAGGGAGGTCAAGATTTTCTAAAGGATCAAGTGACCGAATGGGTTCATGACAAGTATCATCAATCTCTCGCTTCCTTGAGTAGACTTGAACAATTGACAGTCTTGCTATCACAGATGGAGAAGGTAGTGAAGGTACAACAATTGGGGAGTGATCAACAAAAGAATTGAGAGATGAAAGGAACAACATCAAATTGTTTTGTCAAAACACGAGTGACTTGATCGACTAACCATCATCTTGCTCCCCCTGACTTGTAGAATTAGGAGGTGCATAGAAGAATGGTGTAGTCTCTGAAAATACCACTTTAATTGACATAAGATATTTGCCAAGTTTAGTAGAATAACACCGATACCCTTTTTGAAGGCTAGAATAGCCTAGAAAAACACATTTCAATGCCTTAGGATCTAGCTTGGTAATAGATGGTCGTACATCTCAAACATAACATGTGCTTTGAAACACCTTTGGTTCCATTGAAGTAGTGACTTAGTAGGAAAAAGAACATTATAAGGGGTATTACCAACACGCACAGTAAATGACATGCGATTAATAAGAAAGCAAGCTGTAGAGACTGCATTTACCCAAATTTGTTTAGGAATCTTCATCTGGAATAAAAGTGCCCTAGCCGTCTCAAGTTGATGCCTATTCTTCCTCTCAACAACTCCATTTTGAGAGGGCATATGAACACATGAAGACTGGTAGAGAATACTATGTTGCCTCAAATATGATTGAAACAACTCTGACATATATTCTGTAACGTAGTCACTTCTTAGAGTACGAACCGAAGAATTGAATTGAGTTTTATCTTCAGCATAGAAGGCACAAAAATGAGTAGACACTTTAGAGCGACTCTTCATAAAATAAATCCAAGTCATCTGAGAGAAATTATCCACAAAAGTGACAAAATACCTATGTCCAGTTTTGGAAGTGACTAGACATGGTCCCCTAACGTCAGAATGAGCTAACTCAAAAGCAGGCTCAGCACAATTATTAACCCTTGGACCTACTGAGTTGCGACGATGTTTTGAAAATCGTTATGACTTGCATTTCAGTGAAGAAATATTCTAAAATTGAAGAGAAAGCTTCTTTAACAAAGGTAGAGAGGGATGTCCCAATCAGCAATTTGCTTCAAACGGAGACACAACACTTGAGCAGTCTGTAGACTCCCATTCATCAAGGATATAGAGATCATCAGATACATATCCTTTACCAAGATACATATCCTTTACCAATTACTTGATTTGTTGTAAGATCACGAAACAAACAATGATCGAAAACGAAAGATATGTAGCAATTAAGGTCTCAGGTTACTTTGCTAACAAAAATCAAATTGAAGGCCAACTTTGGTAAGACTTGATACAAATAACAAGGTAATAGATTAGATTGGTTTAACAATTCAGAGAGGGTGCTTTGTGTGATTGAAAGCTTGAAAATACATTAAGATTACCTGTCATGTGATTTGTTGCAACTGAATTTATCACCCATTTATTTGTAGATGTATAAGACATGACTCCGTAAAAGCATTAACTGAAGTGAGTTCCTTCATTGATTTTTGATATTGAAAGATTTTAACAAATTCTTTGGCCGAAACCAAAACCATTTTATCATATAATGGACTAGAAGAAGTCATTTCGCCAAACTCACCATATCAAATCAGAATATAGAGAAATTGCCAAAGTTCTGTACCAATTGTTATCCCAACAGTTCTGTCCACGCCAACAAGTCAGATTGTTTGACTCAACTCAAAAAGAGCTCCATTCACATATAAAGGTATTAATAGTGAAGCAGTCAACTCCTAGCTAAAGGGTTTAACTCAAATAGACATAAACCATTCAAAGAGATGCCCAACAAAATTCAAGATACAAAAGAAATAGACTAAAACACCCAGTTGTTCAGGAGATGGTTTAGAAACTAAAATATGATATACCCAAATGATCCAGATGTGAAACCAATTGAACAGTGGAGGGTAAATTCAAACAACAACAACATAATTCAAACAATATTGCAACTCAAAACAAATCAAAGCAGCAGACAAAGTAATTCGAACTCAAATATGACCAAAAGAAATCACTGTACCTGATTGTTGATGCTTATTCTTTAAAACTTGGTCCAATATCTTGAAGACCACCTTAAGTCGGCTGAGAATTTCAAGGCGATGCCAAATTAGGACTCCAGATCAAGATTGGTCCACACATGCACCTTCACGTGTGGCTAATTCTGGCGACGACTAGCCGTGAAGTTCGACATACTACACTTTCTAATCCCACAAGGCTCTGATACGATGTTATTAATAAGGTTTGGAGAGAATAACTTGTTTATTGCTCAATGATTACAGTGATATAAATACATGAAGAGTACTAACTAACTATGGTAAGTAGATAATCAAATCCCTACGAATCAGCTAGACTACCATATATACAATATTGCACAACTGTAAATTGATTCTGTAACAAAACCCCAATAACTTGTGGGAATAATAAAGCTGAATTCTCTCTCAAACTCTTGTTTTCTCACAGATGATATAGATGGAGGTGCATTGTGGGATATCTTTAGAAGGCAAGATATTCCAAAGTTAGAGGAGTATCTTAGGAAGCATTTCAAGGAATTCAGGCATATTAATTGTTGTCGTATACCACAGGTATGAACTAAATTTGCTTAGCATTCATATTTTGGAATGAGTGTTGAGTCCTATTGTTTCTTTCGTGGCTTTGGCTTGGGGGTTAAGAATAATTGGTTGTAGGATGTTTTTTTCATTAATGAGGTGTTTTTAGATGATCGAGAAATCCATCTGGGGTCAGCCCGTAAGACCTACCACAACCTTTGAAACTTGGGGGATATTGTGCCCGCCCCTTTACCCTTTTCCACTTAAATACCAAGCTTAGTTCACATGGCACAAGACTTGAACCTGTGACCCAAGTCACCAGTCCCTCAACTTTTGCCTGAGAGCAGGACCTATAATGTTACACTTTGTGCCAAATTTTCTTGAGTAAGAATTTTCAATATGAGACATATTTCCTACCTAGACATAAAACATATTTTTAAATCTCCCAAATTTTCCTTTTAACTCGTTATTCAAGTACAGATGAGGGGGTTGTTTCGAAACACAATCTTCTGAAATTGTAGATGATGAAACAAGAAATTTAAGAAAATATTGCTTGAACTTGAAATGCATACACATGATGAAGCTTGTTGTTTGTATATTATCAAATTTACCATGAAGATGTTTTTGGTGGAGACATAGAATTGAACTTATGAAGAAAATAAACATCACTCTATTTCTTCTAATGTTTAAAGAATTTTCCTTTTTTCTTTTCCAGATATTTATAATTCAATACAAGAATGATAACTGTGGGACATTTCATTCTTTGTTTTTCTGTCTTATTAGTTAAAACACAAAGTATTCTGCATGTACCAACTACCAACTCCATTTTGTCTTGCATTGTAGGTTATTCACCCTATACATGATCAAACATTTTACTTGACTAAGGATCACAAAATTAATCTTAAGGAAGAATATGGTGAGTGTTTCATGTATGAATCTCATAGCTTGAAACGTTCCTATTTCGATGTGGAACTCTCTCTTTTTTCTTCTTACATTTTTATTTTAATTATTTTCTATTTCGCAGGAATTGAACCATGGACCTTTGTTGAAAAATTAGGGGATGCAGTTTTCATACCTGCAGGCTGCCCTTATCAAGTTAGAAATTTGAAGGTGTCTCTCTCTCCCCTTCTCAATTTTTTAGGTTCTTCCTTTTTAAATTAACTTAGGACCTCAATTCAACTTTAAGATAATAGTCGAAGCTATGGCAACTTAATTTAACCTATCGGAAAAATTCTAATAGTTGAAGCTATAGTAATTTATATTTTTATCATTTTTTGCCTTGTCAAAAGAAAAGGCTACTTTTATTTTTATCCAATCCGTAGTGGTTGTGAAAGATAAAAATTCTTGTACCAGTATATTTTGGGTAAGTTTTAGGATAATAAAATGTTTTGCTATTTTATTTATCATTTAACTATATGACATTCTGTAGCCAAAGTGACTAAACAACTTAAAGACCCGGTGCCTTCAAAGTGCGAATTTGTGAATAAAGCTGCCTATTCTAAGGTTAAGTTGAAAGTGGATGTAGGTTACTGTAGCTGCTTATATGCCATTGAAAATTATCCAAAGTAAGGCTGATGTAAAGTTGGATAGTGATAATTGATACTCCCCCAGTTTCATTTTCTGGGTCTTAGTTTGACTGTTGTTGTAGAAGCAACACTACTAACGACTGAGAAGTTGGAAGAATAAAAATACACTCTTAGTTCTGAAAATATCCGATCTTGGTTTTTGAGATAGACGGGATGAGTAAGCAATAAAAAACGGTACACTTTCTTTTTCCAAATGTACTGACATAAATGATGACTAATAGATCTTTGACTTCTGATCAGGGAACTTTGATATTATCAATAAGTTGCTATATTGAAGATAATGAATAAAGTTAAGTGCTAATTAGTAAACTATGCTTCAAAACTTTCTCATATAACCACTAATTTTTCTTCCTAGTCAACTTTCCACTTTATTCCACATATTTAGTTATGCATATCTTTTGTTGTATTCTCAACACGCCTCCTCACATGCATGCTTGATTCTTTTATTTTCATGGGCCAAACATATGAAAATTCTTTTTCATATGGTGGTGGTGAGATTCGATCTCATGACCTCTGCCTGCTCTGATACCATGAGAAATTAGACGAAGAAGAAGAGATATTGGGAATTGAATTGATTGATTATTCCTTCAAGTTCATGGGATTAAATAGTTATTACAAATAGTGTAAATAAGGATAGAAACTAATAAAATATTACTCCAAATATTCTCATATCTACATTATCTAATCATGCCATATCTAAATATTCTCATAACTACACTATCCAATTATACCATAATTAACACTTCCCTCAAGCTGGAGCGTATAAGTCATGCTCCTAGTTTGCCACAAATATAGTCAATTCTGAATCCTTGGAGTGATTTTGTGAAAATATTCGCCAGTTGATCTTTTGAGTTGACAAAACTGGTGGCGATGTACCCTGACTCAATCTTCTCTCGAATGAAGTGACAAATCTCAATGTGCTTCGTCCTTTCATGAAACACGACATTATAAGCAATACGTAGTGCAACTTGGTTATCACAAATCAATGTCACCAGTTCAACTCTTCCCATCTTCAATTCTTGGAGAAATTGTCTCAACCATATAAGCTCACACGTAGCTAGTGTCATAGCTCGATACTCTACCTCTACGCTTGCCCTAGCTACGACAACTTGCTTTTTACTTTTCCTAGATATTAGATTGCCTTTAATTAGAACACAATTACCCGAAGTGGACCACCTGTCAGAAGGTGATCCTGCCCAATTTACATTAGAATATCCAACAATGTTGGTGTCTCTTATCTTCATACAATAAACCTTGTCCTGGAGAGCTTTTGATAAATCTAAGATGTGAATCACTGCATTCCAATGACTACCACAAGGTGATTGCAAAAATTGGCTAACTACACTAACACCAAATAAGATGTCTGGTCGCGTGATCGTAAGATAGTTGAGTTTGCCAACAAGTCTCTAATAACGATCTTTTAAAGGCTCCCTCTATCATGGAATAAGCTTAGTATTTGGATCCATGAAACTGTCCGCATGTTTGCAATCCTACATACCAACGTCTTCTAAAATGTCTAAGGCATATTTGCTTTGTGTAATAGCAATACCATGGCCACGCTGTGCCACTTCAATGCCTAGAAAGTATTTCAGCTTTCCCAATTCCTTAGTTTGAAAGTGACTTGAGAGGTGTTGTTTGAGTTGAGCAATACCTTCATGATCATCTCTCGTGATAACAACATCATCAACATAAACAATTAAAAAGATATGTTTGCCATAAGATGAAATCCTATAGAATACATAGTGATCAACTTGAAATGACCAAATCATGCTCTGGGAGACTACTTGAGACCATAGAGGGATCGACGAAGTTTACAAACTAGTCTAGACTCCCCCTGAGCAACAAACCTTAGTGCTTGCTCCATATATACCTCTTCAACAAGTTCTTCATGTAGGAATGCATTTTTTGATGTCTAGCTGAAATAGGGGCCAATGATTCATTGCTGCCATAGAGATGAGAAGATAGAAATAAGCCATCTTAGCAACTAGTGAGAAAGTATCTCCATAATCGATGCCATAAATCTGAGTGTATCCCTTAGCAACCAGTCTCACTTTGGGACTGTTAGAATAGAATAGGAAAACACAATCCTACAAACTAGGAATAGTTTATAGTCTCCTATTTGGTAAGGAATTGCATTATATAGTGTCTATAAATAGTGTTCTCTATGTAATTATTACAACAACAATTCAATAATATTCTTTCCTTATATTTCTCACATGGTATCAGAGCATTGGTGAGAAAAAAAATAAAAAGAAGAAGTCAGAATCCGATGACTGTCAACGGCTGGTTTGCATTGTTGTCTCGTTTTACAAATGTAGTGTGACAACCCACACCACCATGAGGTGCGGAACACTCAGGCGAGTAAACCCCAGTGAGCTCCTCTGAATTTCACCGAGTCACGTGCCCTCACGCGCCGCCAGGAGTTCTAGGGTCGCTTCACCACGCGCATCACGCGCCGGCACGTGCGACACTTTTCGGCCAGTTTTTTCGACCACTTTTTTTTCATTGAGGTCGCCTCTCCATTCCGAGGCAGACTGTATATTTATTTTCTTATTCCGACCAGTTTCGGGCAGTCAAACTAATTTCCGGCGACTGCATCCTTTTTTTTTTCCAGATTCTGACCGGCCTTTTGTTTTTTTTTCCCTCTCTCTAAATTCATAATATGTCTTTAGGGATTGATATTTTTGGCTCCAAGAATATAGGTAGTTCAAGTGCTATGATCACTTCAGAACCATTAATGGGAAGTTTAAACTATTTAGCCTGGGCTTTCTCGGTTGAGTTATGGTGCAAGGGGAAAGGCGTTCATGATCACTTAACCAACAATACTTGTGTGGTAGATGAAAAGGCAAAGGCTAGTGAGACAAATAATAACATAAAAGCACAATGGGAGAAGGTTGATGATCAATTATGGTAGTCTCCTATGGCGATCTATCGATTCCAAGTTGATGCCCTTGTTTCGCTCATCCCAAACATGTTATTCAGTTTGGTAAAAGGCTCGTGCTTTATATACTAATGATATATCTCGATTCTATGATGTGATATCTAGAATGACTAGCTTAAAGAAACAAGAATCCGATATGTCTACTTACTTGGGTCAGGTACAATCAGTCATGGAGGAATTTGACACGTTGATGCCAATCACTACAAATGTGGACAAACAACAAGAACACAGACAGACGTTGTTTCTAGTTCTTACACTTGCTAGACTCTCTATTGACCATGATTCAGTGCTTGATCAGATTTTAGCTAGTCTTACAATTCCTACAGTTGATGAATTATTCTCTCGTCTACTTCGTATTGCCGCGCCTCCCAGCCACAAAGTAGTTTCATCACCGACCTTTGATTCCTCTGCTCTCGCATCTCAAACCATAGAAAAATGAGTATATCAATCTATGGAGAATCGACGAGGAGGAAGTCGTCTTGGAAAACCTCTATCTAAGTGTAGGTATTGTCATAAGTCTGGACACACTGGTGACATATGTCATAATTTGCATGGTCCATCACCCAATTATGATCCTGCTACTCTAAAGGAATATAATGAGTTCCTTCGTAATCGTGCAAGTAAGCATACATCTTCACAAGAAGCATTTGTTGCTCCGCCTAATCGACCATCCCATAATGCTCATATTGCTCAATCAGAATATGATGAGTTCCTTCAATATCGAGTAAGTAAGCAAACGTCTCCACAAGTAGCTTCGGTTGTTCAACATGATGTTGCTGTTGCGGGTAATTCTTTTGCTTGTGTTTTACAGTCTAATACTCATGGATCATGGGTCATGGACTCGGGCACTTCTGATCATGTTTCTGGTAACAAATCAGTTCTGTCAGATATTGTTTATTCACAATCTCTTCCTGCTATTACTTTGGCCAATGGGATACGAACAAAACCAAAAGGGGTTGGAAAAGCCACACCTTTATCTTCTGTCACTCTAGACTCTGTTCTTTATGTCTCTGGTTTTAATCTAGCATCGGTTAGTCGTTTGACGAAAGCCCTACATTGTAGCATAACCTTTTTTGATGATTTTATTCTCATGCAGGACCACAGTATGGGACAGATGATTGGCACAGGACATGAATCACAAGGCCTTTACTATCTTACCTCTTCAAATTCCTTCACAGCATGCTCTGTTACAGATCCGCCGGACCTCATTCACAAACGTTTGGGACAACAAGTCTATCCAAACTGCAAAAGATGGTGCCTAGTTTGTCTAGTTTATCCACATTAGATTGTGAGTCGTGTCAACTTGGGAAACACACTAGTGCCACATTTTCACGTGGTACTAAGGGTCGTTCAAAGTCTATTTTTTCATTAGTTCATTCTGATGGTTGGGGTACTAGTAGAGTCAGTTCCGCCTTAGGATTTCGTTATTTTGTTAGTTTCATTGATGATTATTCAAAATGTACTTGGGTTTTCTTAATGAAAGATCGTTCTGAGTTATTTTCTATATTCAAAAGTTTCTTTGCTGAAATAAAAAATCAGTTTGGTGTTTCTATTCGTACTTTTCGTCAGTTCCACCTTAGGAT